GCTCAGTCTTCATACAGCTTATGGAGTTTTTCCTCTTTTGCCTTCTCCTTCTGCTTTCTTGGGCTTACTTCCTTTTTCTGACTTACGTTTTTATTTTCCTACCAAAGCACACTCTGACACGTTTCACCCGCGCCTTACCCCAGGCAGTGGTTTTGCTCACACTCAGCCTGTTCAGATGGCTCCGGCTGTCCTCTCCCAGGTGGACCAGCAGTGCTTGGAGCAGCTGCAGCTCGCTTCCTTATCTGCTCGGGTCCGCCTCAGCTCCTGCTTCTGCAGTGTGTGAGCCCACGGGAATCTCAGGAATAGCTTCAGGGTGTGTGCTGTCACCCAGAGCCTGCTCCGTCTGCTGTGCTGTGGGGGCCCTTTGCTGCAGGAGAAGCTCAGGTGAGAGTGGCAGCCTGAGCTGGGGGCTGGGGAAGTGGAAGTGGGGAGACAGCAGATGTATGGAGAGGAAATGGAGCAAGCTGCACTGCCTGCAAGCAGTGGTGGCTGGAGCTCTGTCTCCTCTCTGAAATGCTGTTGACAGGCACCACTGTAAGCCTATCTGAAGTGAGAAGTTAAAACACTGCGTTTATCTTGCATGGCCATAAGCTGATTGTGAAGGTTTGCATCAACTCTCATTGCTTTATGCTTGCTGGCATGTGATTCAGTGGCTGCTTCCTACCAGGTTCCCATTCTGTGCCCATTGCAGTGTTCTTCTATCAGGCAGGTTGGGCACCTTGCTCCTGCTGGGGTAGAGGGACCAGAGGGGCCTCCAGCCTTGGCCGTGCTGCAGCTCTGCGGTGGCTTCTGTTAGGAATATGCTGTTAAAGGACCTGCATCTCACTCTGAGAAGGATCCTGTTGTAATTTGAGTATTTCCTGTGAATGGGAACATGCTCAGGAATGAAGCCCAGACCCTCTTAGTGCCCATCCATGGAAGGTGAGATGGCAGCAGTGTGACTCACCGCTGTCCTTTCTGGAGGCAGGCATCTTTTCCGTGTGACTGCTGCAGCTGGGGATGACTTAGCATCTCTGCTCCTTCTGCCTCCTGGAGCCCCACGAAGTGCCCATGGGAGCACAGCTAAGAAAAGCACTGAGTGACAGCCCCAGCCCTGCTCTTCTCTATGGCGAGGAGCTAATTTTAAAGAGTGAGGGGATCTGCTGAAACAATACACCTGCTGCCAACAGATCAGTGTGTCAGCACCTCCTTGAAGCAAAAGCAGGAGCGGGGCAGTGGTGCTTTGTTGCTTTTTTCTCTTAGCTGTACCACGCTTGTGAGTAGGTGGTGCCCCTTGGTGTGGCTGTAGGAGAGGATGTGCTGTGAGGGATGCCCTGCACCCAGCCCTTCGTAGGACCGGAGGTCAGAGGGAGGCTGTCCTGTACCCACTGCTCTGGGGGAGGTAAGTTGGTGGCACGGCCGGGCCTGTGGAAGCAGTTGGCAGCTTTGTCATTTGAGGGCACCCTGCCCACACCTGCCCAGCTTCCCCATCACCATCTCCAGGCACAGAATCTGGGTCAGACTGATCATAGCTACAGTCAGACTGCGTGCCCGCAGCTGCAGCGTACTCTGAGGAGCTGCAAAATGGAAATGCAAAGTTCAGGAAGCAAATTCCACTCTTCCCTAGATGGGAAGCCTGAGGCAGCGGCGTCTGTGAGTAAGCACTGTTGGTGCCACTGCTGTCTGCAGAGGGTGGATGGGGGGGGTCCTCCTGGGAGGGCCCCACGAGGCTGCTGGAAGGAGATGTTCTGTGAGCAGTGGCTGCTGGGTTTGTTTCCAGGGCCTGTGGCTCCGGGCAGAGCAATGTGTGGTGTGTGCTTGTGGCCTCTGCTGGGCTGGTGTGGTCAGATACTGAGTGAGGTGGGGGAGGGGGAGCAGTGACTGGGGATGGGAGACCCCATGGGTGGGCTGGGGAAGGGGGAACCTGGTGACTGGGGAAGGGGAAGGGGTGGGTGGTTGGGCTGGGAGAGAGAGATGTAGTGGTTGGTGAGCATTGGGAGCTCCAGGACAGCAAGTCTGATGTTGGCAGTGGGTGGAAATGACTTTTCTCTTGGTTCAGCTCGTTAGAAGAAGGCTTTGGTGTACTGAAGTGAGAAGGTTACTTGCTGGGTACACGCAGATTCCGGGCACAGAGCAGAGCAGATGGGGCAGATACTGGGTGTAAGCAACCAGCTGCTGCTGGGACATGAGGAGGTCTGAACAAATCATTTTGCCCAGGGGAAAAAAAAAACAAACAACAAAAACAGACAAAAAGAGAGAAGGATTGATTTGCTGTGGAGCAATTTGAAGACTTCCTGGAATGGGCTGAAGAATGCATCACCACAGGAGAGCTCTTCTCCTCTCCTCCATCACTGTGGTTGCTGTGAGCCGCTGTGCCATGCTGCGTTCCTTCCCACGCCTCACCGCAGAGCTCCAGGGACATCATCATCATTACAGACATGGCACAGCCACTGTTCCACCATTGCTGCTTTCCCCTTGGGCTCTGCTCTGTGAGTCCTGGTTTGGGTGTGGGGTGGGAGCCAGGGCTGCTCCTGCTCCAGTGCCAGAGATGGAAAGCAGAGGAGCTGCTCCGAGTGCAGTGTTGCATTGGGTGCCCTTTCCCTCTGCTGGTGCTTCCTGCAGCCGTGGCAGTGCTCCATGTAGGTTGGCCAGCTGTGGGCCAGCTGCTCTGTGTGCCAGAGCCCAGGTCTGTGTTTGCTACAGAAATGCAAAAGGGCTTTTATTAGTTGCACTGATATTTCTTAACGTCATTTCTGCATTCCTCATTAGGTGAAATACAGACAAGGAAATGCCCTGCTGGTAAATCTGCATCACCTCACTATTAGTTTTTCCCAGCAGCTGGGCTGTTTCAGTGTCCCAGCTCCTATGCAGGTCTGAAACAGAGACACTGTCAGTGCTACTCCATGGCAAGTATTAAAAAGAGAAGTGGTACCACCACAGTGATTAGGAACAACAGCTGCGTGGTGTGAATCAGACTTGTGATGGGATATTCCTGTACCAGAGGGCACTCTGGGTGGGATCAGCCTTAGTTTGGGTTTGAGAACTCCTGCTGGCTCCCCAGCCCTGTTCACATGGCAGCTCCTGCACTGCTGGCGCTCTGTAGGCATTTGCAAGGTTAATTCTCACAGAATCACAGAATG